TTTTCTTGTGCAGTAGTTCTAGTTGGCGCCTTCCCGCATAGCGGGTTGTGTAGTTCGGCCAGCGTGTCCTGCGCATGCGCTGTGGGAGTTTGTTTTGGTCTGGGCGGTGTAATTACCTAAGTGTAGTTACAGGATGAGAGCTACACTCGTGGTGTGTTTCAGTGCTGGTGTTCTGCGCCCCTTTTTTTTCTCGGGTGCTTCACCTCTCGCTCTTCTCCCTTCTCAGGTATGTGCCCCGTTGCTCCGGGGGTGTCATGGATTACAGCTGTGGGGAGGACGCAGAGGTTTTCCCTGTGTCGTGGGTGTGGGCCTCCTCCTTTGCCTCTACCCTGCTCTCCTGCTTGTCCAGCTCTGGCTTCTTCACCTGGCGGTGCTCCCGAGATCTTCTTGGCACTGTTGGGTCGTGTCACGTTCGTGCCTCTGTTCGACAGGTGAGTTTCTGCGGTCTGGCGTCTTTCGGCCGGGCGCTGAATGCGGAGATATTTATATACCTGTCTTTATTTAGGTATATTTATGTACAAATATGAGACCGTCGGCACACCTGTGACTGTCCCTTTTCAACCCTTCCAGTCCCACTCGTCGGCATGTCCAACCCATGCTAGAATCATTCAGGGGACCCACCTCTTTCGTGTTATGAGGTGTGTGGGTTGTGATGCTGGTTATGTACTCACCTGGTTGGGCTCGCCTGGTTGTGCTTGCGGGCTCTGAGCTCTGGCTCGTTGGTCCCGCCTATATGGAAGAACATGCAGGATAGTACCAGTGGAGCGCAGTGGTGCCATAGGCACAATCAGGGAACACTGTATAAACATCAGAGGTCTAATGTTGTTAAACGTCCTACCTGCGAGCATAAGACATATTGCCGGTACATCCGTGGACATCTTCAAGAGAACACTAGCCTGTTTTCTAATAGAGGTTCTGGACCAACCTCTCACAAGTCAAGCCTAGCCTCGGGCCGGGCTTGGGGAGTAAATGAACTCCCAAAACTCCATCGAGCAGATATCGAGCAGGTATCTCCGCCGTTGGTCGCCTGGTGTGCAGGTTCCTGGGCTTACTGGGTTCTGTCGTGTCTCCGTTGGCCCTGTCTGGGGTCTCCCTGGAGTCTGCCTGCACCGTTCTCTGCCTTCGCAGAGACAATTTGCTACATACTTGTAATTACCTAAGTGTAATTTCCTAAGTGTAGTTACAGGATGAGAGCTACGCTCGTGGTGTCCCGTCTTCCCAGCACTCTTTTCATATAACGCTTTGAAACTACTGACGGTCTTGGCCTCCACCACCTTCTCACCTAACTTGTTCCAACCATCTACCACTCTATTTGCGAAAGTGAATTTTCTTATATTTCTTGGGTATCTGTGTTTAGCTAGTGTAAATCTATGACCTCTTGTTCTTAAAGTTCTAGGTCTCAGGAAATCTTCCCTATCGATTTTATCAATTCCTGTTACTATTTTGTTGCATGCTGCGTGTGGTGCATGTTGCTGCTGTACGTGTGCATTGGTAACGTGTTTCGCGGTGGCGTGTCCTTGTTCTTGTGTCAGGTTGTGGTGTGACACTTTGCTGCTGTTTTGTGCCTGGGGTTTGCTTGTGTTATTTTTTGTGGTCTTCGGGTCCTTGGCTTAGCCCTTCCATGTGGATGGGGTTCTGTCCACGCCTGATTGTTCACCCCTGGTTGTGTTTCCTGGGGTTTGAGCTTTGGCTCTTTCGTCTTGCCTCTCCCCTATCGCTTCCCTGGCATCTCCTTTGCTTGGTTTTGCCTGCACTTGCTGCTGTATGGGGGAAGTCGGTTTCCGCCGCTTCCATTCCTTGTGCATTCCCTTTGTTTCCTTCTCTGCCACAGGGGTTTTCTTCATGCGTTCCTTGGTTTCTTGGGCGTTCCTTCAGCCTGTGTCATATGGTGCGCTTATGTGTCTTGGTCTGTTTTCGTTGCTCGTACCCCTTGGTTCGGGTACTGTTCTGGTGGCAACCCTTACGCCTTCTTCAGTTTTCCTGGCTTGCCCTGCCTGTTGGCATTTCAGGGTCTAGCGATGTCTCGCGTCAGACCCGTCGTTTCTGATCTCCTGGCGGGCTTGCTTGCATTGGGGAGCTTTCTGTTCAGCAGACGTTCCATCTCCTTATTTGCCACGATCTTTGGTGGTCGTGCCCGAGATCTTCCAACGGCTCCGCCTCTTCCCGGCCTCGGATGAGCCTTGTCGGGGCTGATTACATTCTGCCTCGAGTGACTCGCCTCCGGTTGGTAATCTGGTGGCTTCGTTGTTGGTGTCCCACCTGCATGCTTCTTTTTGGCGGCAGTATAGGGTATTTTGGCGGTCCTTCCTTTTCCTTCTGTCCCTTCTTAGGTGGCTGCGGTTGTTTGCGTCGGCTTGGTTTTTCTGGTGGGGGTTGGGGGCCCGTCGTCTTGCCACATACTGTCGCCTCGTTTCGTCCGGCGCTGGCGGAGCTGCTTCGGCTTGCTTTTGGTCTTGTTGTTGCTTCTGCACCGTTAGTAAGCTGTCTCGTGCGTTGTTTCACCTCCGGCCTGTTCGTGCGCCGCTTGCACCGTCCTGGTCTCTGGTCAGTGTGCTCTGTCTTCTCCTCGGTTGGTGGTGGCCCTTCGGTTCAGGTTTGTTTTTCGACGGCTCTTTTTCCTGTTGGCATTTGCCTCTGTGGGTCGGGTCGCTGGCCTTCTTGCTCTCCTCCGCAGGGGTTTCTGCTCCTTCGGTCTTGGCGTTTTGGTTGTTCGGTGGCAGCCGTCTCCATCTTTTCTGGCACGGGATGGGGCTGCTGCATTCTGGAGGGGTCCTTGGTTTGTTGGTGCTTGGTTGGTCGGGACAGGGGTGTGGCATGTTTTTGTGTTCGGTAGCGGCCCTCCGCTATTATTTGCATGCCGCGGCCTCTATGTCCGGGGCGTGCTTTGAGTTGATTCGGTTCCATTCTTCCCTGTTCGCGGGTGAAGGTGTCCCGAGTTATCTGCCGTGTTGCAGCTAGCCTGCCTGTGTTCTTTCCCCATGACCGTGGCGTTCGTGGCTTCACTGCTCTTGCTACCGTCTGGGCGGCGTGTCCTTGCTGTCATTCGGACACGGATCTTTTGGTGTTCGTACAGGGGCCTTGCTGCTCGTTGTCTCGTGATGTTCCCGAGCCCTTTCGGGCCTGTGTCGCCTTGGGTTGGCGTTTGCAGCCGGTTGTCTCGCTTCCATTGAGGGGTACATGGTGACCGCCTCCCGGTTTAGTCCCTTTGACCTTCTTCTGTGGGTAGTTAGCTCTGGGGAGCCGACAGGGCTTCCCCCAGAAAACCAGCGTCGAATGTAATAACGCCTTTTTCTGGGTGAGATCCGGAGGCTCTCCAGCAACCCTCTCTCCCTCCGGTTGGTGGTTTTTCGCGTGTTTTGACATCAAGCCTCACAACTGATGGGTGGATAGCCAGCGTGGGAGGTCTGGGGCTCCCCCTTCCCCCTCTCAGAGAGTGGGGAGCTGCGCAGACAACGAAGTGGTGACGTGTGACGTCATACTAGTTTGCTTGTTTTCTGTTGGGGAGTTCTATCCACTAGCTCGGCTTTTGGTAGCAATTTTAACCAGAATAGGGGTTTTGTTTTGGAATGCTTACCTTTCTGGATGCTTGACCCGGTCGATGGCAGATATAGAAGGCTTTCAACCACACGGGGGTTTTTATAGACCATTGCTTCCCTTGCCTCTCTGAGGGGGCCAGGCTCTGACTTGTGGTCCCCGGTAGGCTCTAGAACTCCATACACATGACTGATGGCAAAGTGTGACATTAGCATATCAGCCTGGTATAGCTCCGGGGAGCCTTCGGGTCTCACCCAAAAAAAGGCGTTTCATTACATTCAACGCTGGTTTTTTTATTTTTTTTTTTTTAAGAAACATGGAGCAGCCTACCTGACAAACACTGAACGAACCTTTTTAACATTTGTTCTTTCTTTAAAAAAATTCATTTTGTTTTTCTACAAAAAAGTCAATGCTTTGCAACATCCCAGCATCAATAGCCTCTTTAAACAAAGGTTAAATAATTTGTACATCGTCGGAGGCATCTGAGAATGGGCGAGAAGCAGCCCGCGACCCCACCATGTGGTGTTGACGTTATTCAAATAAGCGGTCGCCTAACGAAACAAATTGTCGGCGATGGTTATCTTGAGATGATTTCGGGGCTTTAGTGTCCCCGCGGCCCGGTCCTCGACCAGGCCTCCACCCCCAGGAAGCAGCCCGTAACAACTGACTAACACCCAGGTACCTATTTTACTGCTAGGTAACAGGGGCATAGGGTGAAAGAAACTCTGCCCATTGTTTCTCACTGGCGCCTGGGATCGAACCCAGGACCACAGGATCACAAGTCCAACGTGCTGTCCGCTCGGCCGACCGGCGATCGGGGCGTTCGTTACCCAAATTGGATGCCATTTGAGGCAGTCGTCACTCGATGTTCAACTGCACCTGTACTTTTAATTATCTTGTCATCTTCCTCATTTTATGATATAAATTGTGCCAATATCTGTCTTACTACTAAAACCTCCCTTCGTCTCAACAGTATATATATAACTTTTCAAATTGCAAGCTAAACGTCGGTCGCTTTATGCCAAAAATATAATCTTGATTTAGACTGGTGCACAGTAATGCACACTAGCCATCTTGAGGTTATCTTGAGATGATTTCGGGGCTTAGCGTCTTGGTCGCCCGGTCCTCGACCAGGCCTCCTTTTTGTTACACACCCACAGGAAACAGCCTGTAGCAGCTGTCTAACTCCCAGGTACCTATTTTATTGCTAGGTGAACAGATGCATCAGGGTGAAGGAAACTCTGCCCATTTGTTTCTGCTTCCACCGGGGATTGAACCTGGAACCTCAGGACAACGAATCCGAAGCGCTGTCCCCTCAGCTTTCAGGCCCTCAGGCCATTGTTCCATTGTTATAATGATTTGTATTAGTTGTTATGAATAAAATGTGTGATTCTGATGATGTTTGTGTTATGTTGCTCTTGTGACACTCTCATGTAATTAATGTGCTATCTTTTAACCTTTTGCAGGAGAAGCTGGCTCGAATGGCGATGGCGCACTACGTAACAGAATCAATGGCTTATATGATCTCATCAAGCATGGACTCCGGGTCCACGGACTACCACCTGGAGGCTGCTGTTAGCAAAGTTAGTACTTGCTACAACCCTTATTATTTGTCAAATTTAATGCACTGAAATATTTAGTTGCTGAATTTGGACACATGGCAATGGCTTCTGACATAGATATGAAAAATATAAAGCCTTAATTGAAGACATTTTTGTTTTGGACAAATTAAAAATGAAATGAAAGTTATACCAAACTACTTTGTTATGCATCTATGCATCTCAACACAACCATATATATATACAGTGGCACCTCGACTTACGATTGACCCGACTTACGATAATTTCGAGTTACGATGTAAATTTCATCGAAAAATGTGACTCAACATACGATGGTATCGTCGACAAACGATATTTGTTGGTACACGTTCGGGTCGACCAAGCACGTGGTTCCCGGTCACGGGGGCCGACCTGCCTCAGTTTACTACAGCTGCTTGCTTAGTGACGATCGCGCCTATAAGAAATTCCGCGTTTGTGGTGATTTTCTGTGGGGAGCCCCTACTGCTCCCTGGAGCTTATCGGGCTAATGTATGTTATATTAGACCGGGACATTAGCTAAGGAGTTCAGACCTACCAGGGACCAGCGCCAGAACCTGGCCCCTGTACTGTAACCCCGCGATTATCCGGGATTCGAACATCCGAAAAACGCCCTTATACGGCCAAAATCGTGATCGGATAAAGTTATCACAATATCCGGCCAAAATGGCCACAGGAACCGGATAAAAGCTGGTTTGGCCGGATGAAAATTCGGCCATACGGTATTAATCCCGTCTGTGGCTCTAGACGCATGGTGGAGGAGGGGGTGGGGTGGGTGGGTGGTGTTGGGAGGGTGGGAAGGGGTGCGTCAGGAGGGACCACCTGGGTACAGGAATTACCATTAATTTTAGAACAATTAATCATAGCCAAAAACAAATGAAATAAGTACTAGTAATTATGTAATAACAAATAAATAAGTTTCCTAAAAGCAATGTGCACAGGCTGAAGTTTCCTTCAAAAATATTGTGAGTTTTTTTCCTCCTGGCGGCCTACTGTGTATAGCTGCCCCAAGTGGCGTCCAACACTGGTCAACCCATGTGCGTCCGTCCCTCGTGTTATACACAGTGCTGCGCCATTAGTGAAATATTTTTTAAAATAACTTTTATTTTCATAGTACTTTGAATATTTTTGGCCAAGACTGTCTGGTAGCAGCCTCAATCCTTCTGGAGGTGTAAAGAGGAAGAAAGTTGTCCTAACAATTAAAGACAAGTTACTGTTATACACCTCAACCAGTGCGGCGTCACAGTGCTGCGCCATTAGTGAAATATTTTTTTAAATAACTTTTTTATTTTCATAGTAACTTTTAAACATTTTTGGCCAAGACTATGTCTGGTAGCAGCATCAATCGTTCTGGAGGTGTTAAGAGGAAGAAGGTTGTCCTAGCAATTAAAGACAAGTTATGTGTTGTTCAACCAGTGAGGCATCACAGGCAAGCCAAGCGCCTTCAACAAGTGAGGTCACAGGCAACCCAAGCGCCTTCAAGTGAGGTGCCACAGGCAAGCCAAGCGCCTTCAACAAGTGAGGCATCACAGGCAAGCCAAGCGCCTTCAACAAGTGAGGTGCCACAGGCAAGCCAAGCGCCTTCAACAGGCGCACAGCCAAGCGCCTTCAACAAGTGAGTGCCACAGGCAAGCCAAGCGCCTTCAACAAGTGAGGCGCCACAGGCAAGCCAAGCGCCTTCAACAAGTGAGGCGCCACAGGCAAGCCAAGCGCCTTCAACAAGTGAGGCGTCACAGGCAAGCCAAGCGCCTTCAACAAGTGAGGTGCAAGCAAGCGCCTTCAACAAGTGAGGCGCAAGCAAGTGCCTTCAACAAGTGAGGCGCAAGCAAGCACCTTCAACAAGTGAAGCTTCACAGGCAAGCCAAGCGCCTTCAACAAGTGAGGCGCAAGCAAGCAAGCGCCTTTAACAAGTGAGGCATCACAGGCAAGCCAAGCGCCTTCAACAAGTAATTACCTAAGTGTAGTTACAGGATGAGAGCTACGCTCGTGGTGTCCCGTCTTCCCAGCACTCTTTGTCATATAACGCTTTGAAACTACTGACGGTCTTGGCCTCCACCACCTTCTCACTTAACTTGTTCCAACCGTCTACCACTCTATTTGCGAAGGTGAATTTTCTTATATTTCTTCGGCATCTGTGTTTAGCTAGTTTAAATCTATGACCTCTTGTTCTTGAAGTGCCAGGTCTCAGGAAATCTTCCCTGTCGATTTTATCAATTCCTGTTACTATTTTGTATGTAGTGATCATATCACCTCTTTTTCTTCTGTCTTCTAGTTTTGGCATATTTAATGCTTCTAACCTCTCCTCGTAGCTCTTACCCTTCAGTTCTGGGAGCCACTTAGTAGCATGTCTTTGCACCTTTTCCAGTTTGTTGATGTGCTTCTTAAGATATGGGCACCACACAACAGCTGCATATTCTAGCTTTGGCCTAACAAAAGTCATGAACAATTTCTTTAGTATATCGCCATCCATGTATTTAAATGCAATTCTGAAGTTAGAAAGCATAGCATAGGCTCCTTGCACAATATTCTTTATGTGGTCCTCAGGTGATAGTTTTCTATCTAGAACCACCCCTAGATCTCTTTCTTTATCAGAATTCTTTAAAGATTTCTCACATAATATATAGGTTGTGTGGGGTCTATGTTCTCCTATTCCACATTCCATAACATGACATTTATTAACATTAAATTCCATTTGCCAAGTGGTGCTCCATATACTTATTTTGTCCAGGTCTTCTTGAAGGGCATGACAATCATCTATATTTCTTATCCTTCCTATTATCTTAGCATCATCAGCAAACATGTTCATATAATTCTGTATACCAACTGGTAGATCATTTATGTACACAATAAACATCACTGGTGCAAGAACTGAACCCTGTGGTACTCCACTTGTGACATTTCTCCATTCCGATACATTGCCTCTGATTACTGCCCTCATTTTTCTATCAGTCAGAAAATTTTTCATCCATGATAGAAGCTTACCTGTCACCCCTCCAATATTTTCCAGTTTCCAGAACAACCTCTTATGTGGAACTCTGTCGAAAGCCTTTTTTAGGTCCAGATAGATGCAGTCAACCCAACCATCTCTTTCCTGTAATATCTCTGTGGCTCGATCATAGAAACTGAGTAAATTCGATACACAGGATCTTCCAGATCGAAAACCATACTGTCTGTCTGATATTATATCATTTCTCTCTAGGTGTTCTACCCATTTAGTTTTGATTAGTTTTTCCAATACTTTCACTATTACACTTGTCAATGATACAGGTCTATAATTGAGGGGGTCTTCCCTGCTGCCACTTTTGTAGATTGGAACTATGTTAGCCTGTTTCCACACGTCTGCTACGATTCCTGTACACAGGGATGCCTGAAAGATCAGGTGAAGTGGAATGCTGAGCTCAGATGCACATTCTCTCAGAACCCATGGTGAAACGCCATCTGGGCCAGCTGCTTTGTTCTTACCGAGCTCCTTGAGCATTTTTTCCACTTCGTCTCTAGACACCTCTATGTGCTCTATATTGTTCTCTGGAATTCTTATTGTATCTGGTTCCCTAAAGATTTCATTTTGTACAAACACACTTTGGAACTTTTCGTTTAGTGTTTCACACATTTCCTTTTCATCTTCCGTGAATCTATTTCCCATTTTCATATTATCATATTTTCATATTATCATTTTCATATTTCCCATTTCCCATATTATCCTTTACATGCAATTTGTTGTTTATGAATTTATAGAATAGACCTGGTTCTGTTTTACATTTGTCTGCAATCCCTTTTTCTAAATTTCTTTCTGCCTCTCTCCTCACTGCCGTGTAGTTGTTTCTCGCATCTTTGTATCACTGGTATGTTTGGGGGGTTCGGCCTCTTCCTGTATTGATTCCATTTTTGTGTCTTTTGGTCTCTAGCCCTCTCGCAATTTCTATTGAACCAATCCTGTTTCCTAGTTCTGCATCTCTGTTTTGGTATAAATTTTTTTGTGCCTTTATCATATATTTCACAAAACTTGACATACATCTCATTCACTTCCTTGCCTAGCATCAAGTCTGTCCAATTATACTCACTGAAAAAATTTCTAAGGTCACCATAATGTCCTCTCCTGAAGTCTGGTTTTTCAACTGCTTCAACCTCCTTATTTTCTTCCAGCTTATAACGCATTGCATACTTTATTCCCCAAAAAGACATGGTCACTTTTACCCAAGGGAGGAAGGTACTGAATGTCAAATATCTCTTCCTCCTTCCTGGTAAATATCAAATCTAGCATGGAGGGAACGTCCCCTTCCCTCATCCTCGTAGCTTGTTTAACATGTTGATACAAGAATGTTTCCAGGATGAGGTCTACAAATTTACAGGTCCAAAAATCTTCTGTTTTAGCTTCATATGCTTCCCAGTCTATGGATTTCAAGTTGAAGTCACCGACTATCAACAGTCGTGATCTATCGTTATCCGCTCTCGCTATAATCTCTCTCATTATTGTTATAAGACCTTCACGTTTACTATCTAGCTCCTCCTTTGACCATGTGCTGCTTGGCGGTGGACTATATGCATTTATGACCATTAGTTTATCATCCTCATGGCAGATCTCTAGTGCTATTATGTCAATTTCTTGTGGATTGGCAGTCATTATTTCGTTCACCTTTAGGTGTTCTTTTACCAGCACAGCAACGCCACCGCCTTTCCTAATTTTTCTGTCCCGTCTCCAAATTGAGTAGCCCCTTGGGAATATGACCTCATTTAAAATTACATCTTCAAGTTTTGTCTCCGTGATTGCAACAATGTCGGGTGTCTGCAGCTGTATTACATCACATAACTCCAGTATCTTCGATCTCACTCCATCTATGTTGGTGTATGCAATCTTCAGGAACTTGTTCCCCCTCTCCTTATTCTTCACTCCCCCTCTCTCTCTTGATTTTGTTGGTTTGCCTTTATGTACCACTTTACTGGTTTGCCTACCCCTATCACTTTGTAGAAAAAAAGAATTTATTTCTTCT